GCCTGGCCAGCCTGGGTGAAGGGCTGATGGCTGTTTGCAGGCTGGCCAAGCCCCCCAGCGGGGACCCTCACCCCATGGGGGTGTGGCCAGCCTGGGTGAGGGGCTGAGGGCCATTTTCAGGCTGCCCACAGCCCCTTCAGGGTGGCCACGGCCGCGGGCTGGAAGCAGGTATCTGGGATTTATTTATTTTCTATAATTGAAACTTTGTAGCCTTGAGCGGAGCTCAGAGCCAGCAGGGCAGGCGGGAAGCTTGGCTTCCTCCATTGCCCGGGACAACCCAAGCCTCCTGCTCGCTCCAGCTCCGTGGCTGCTGCCATCTTAGTTGGGTTAATTTGCATATTTGCTCCTGATTGGCTGATGGGCGTGGCTTGTGGGCATGGCTGGTGGGTGTGGGGGAGGGACAGTCAATTTGCATGTTTCTCTTTTATTAGATGTTTTTAAAATCTCAGAAATGCATATATTTATTACTTAAAGACTATTATACTTGCTCACAATTATGAAATAAAAATTTGTTTATGGCATGCCAAGGTCAGTTAGATAAACTTCCTCTTGCACATGGATTTTTCTTTGGAACAACATTGTATGTTTAATTAAGAGTTCCTTTTATATGTACTAATGGTAGGAAAAGTGCAAGGTGGGAATTCTAGTCCTGCCTTGGTCACTCACTAGGTTACATTAGTCATTTACCATTTCTAGGCCTGTTTCTTCATTTGTGAAAAGGAGGCAGTGATACTTTCTCTGGTGTGGTATAAGAAAGAAATGAAGTATTAGATGTTAAAAATGCAAAAGGCCCCATACAAATGTTAGGTGATAGTGGTAGTCAGCTCATTTAACAATGGATAATTGAGTGTTAGACATATTTGATACTTGCAGCTAGTACTCAATTATTAAGCAGGGTTCACTCATTTTACAAGGATTTGGTTGTCTCTTAAGTGCATACTGTGCTAGTAGCCAATATATATGAGCACTTACATACAATGTGTCAGTTATTGTGCTAAGAATTTTTCATGTGTTTACTGTAATCCATGTAGTAGTCTGATAATAATCCTCATAACAGCATTTTTTATCGCTGTTTTATTGTTGAAAGAATTAAGATTTAGAGAAGTCAGGTAGCTTGCCTGAGGTTGAACAACTAGTAAGTATTCTTTCTGATTCTATCTATCATCCATCCATCCATGAACCCATCTATTCATAAATTATTATTTTTTATTGGGCATCTGCTATATAATAGGCAGTATTCTAGGGCTGGATATACAACAGAGAACAAAACAGACAAACATTCTGTGCCCTCATGCAACTTACATTCTAGTAGGGGAAGACAGGAAATAAAGTGTGAAGTAGAGAGTATTTCTCCAGTCATAAGAATGTTGCAGTGACAAAGTAACTCCTTTATTTTAGAAAATAAAAAGAGAGAGAAAATAAAGCAGGGAAGTGTGTGTGTGTGTGTGTGTGTGCGTAATGTAGATATTGTAGCCAGAAAGGGCCTTATCAAGAAGAGGGTAACAACCTGGCCACGGTGGCTCAGTAATTGAGAGTTGACCTATGAACCAGGAGGATATAGTTTGATTCCCGGTCAGGGCACATGCTGGGTTGTGGGCTTGATCCCCAGTAGGGAGCGTGCAGGAGGCAGCCAATCAATGATTCTCTCTCATTGATGTTTCTATCTCTCTCTCCCTCTCCCTTCCTCTCTGAAATCAATAAAAAAATATATTTTTTTAAAAAGAAGGGGGTAACAGACTGAAGGAGGAGAGGGAGGCAGCCACATATGAGAAATGTGATCCAGGTAGAGGAAACTATGGGCAAAGCATAGGACAGGAATGTGCCTGATGTGTTTCAGGAACCACAAGGAGGCCAGTGTTGCTAGTATGAAATAAGTAAAGTGAAGAATAAGTAGTTGGAAATGAGGTCAATGAGATAACATGGGGAAAAATTATGTAGAGCTTTATGGACTGTTGTAAGAAAAATGGGGTTTTGAGCAGAAGAGAGACATGGGATCCGAATTATGTTTTAATGGGATCATTCTGTCTACTGTGTTGAGAACAAACTGAAGGCAAGGCATGTTGACTGCTTAGTCCCAGGGAGGTACCAGTGGAGGTAGTGAAGGTTGATTTGCTGGATTGTTTTGGTGGGGGTAAGAGAAAGAGGACAATCAGTGATGATTTCAAAGTTTTTTTGCCTGATCAACTAGAAGAACTAGAGCAATTACTGAGATGGGAGAAAACTGTGAGAGGAGCAAGTTTCAGAGAATAGGAAAGTAATTTATTTTATACATATTTGAGATGCTTATCAGATACCCACTTGGAGAGAAATGAATTTCAGAAGAGAGGACAGGGCTGGAAATACACACCTGGAAGGTGTCACTGTGTTTATGAAATTTAAAGCTCCAAGTCTAGATTAGAGAAAGAGTAGTATAGGTAGAAAAGAGATGCCCAAGATCAGAGCCTAGTTCTAGCTTAGCTCTTTAACAGCCCAAGTACTTACAATTGCTATCCTATATTGTCCTCTCTAGTATTATTATAGGTACGTATTAAAAACCTAAGCCATGGAGGCTGCCCTCAAGAAGCTTATGTTCTATGTGGAGAAACAAAATATATGACATATAATTGAAACATTTAAATTACAATGCAAAGTCATATATGATTACATGTCAGAATGAATGGAAAGGACTATATGTTTAGCTGTCCTGCCCGTGAAAAGATTCCTTGGCATTGAAATGATTGACAAAAGCCTATTGGAGGAAATGGGACTTGAACTAAACCTCAAACTATGGTCAACAGATTGGGGGAGGTGCATTTTGGGGAAGGTGCCAAGACTACCCTTGGGTTCAGTAGTTCACTAGGAGGACTCACAGAATTTAGCAAAGCTGCTATACTCACAGTTACTCTTTGTTAACAGCAAAAGGATACAGACTAAAATTCACCACAAGAACAGCCTTATAAGGTAGGGTCTAGGAGAGTTCCAGGCAGGAGCTTCCAGTTGTTTGTTCCAGTGGAGTAGTTTGGACAGCATTTACATCTCCCAGCAATGATGTGTGTCAGCACTTACGGAGTGTTGCCAACCAAGGAAGCTTACCCAGCCATGGTATCCAGGATTTTTACTGGGGTTGGTCACATAGGCATGGCTCACTGCCTGTGTTGCAGACCATAGTCTCCAGCCCTCCAGAGCAGATGCCATGGTCCTCACTCACTGTAAATCATATTGTTAACGTAGACTGTTTGGCATTGCTTAAGGCCCCCAAGGAAAAAAAGGCATCTATCAGGCAGGACATTCCAAAGGCTTACCTCCCAGGATCTGGGGGCAAGGGCCAAACCTTTCTTTGGACAAGGTTAATCCTTTCTTGCATGGCGGGGTGAGGGCAGGCTGCTCTCTAGGTGGAGACAGCATGAGCTTAGATACAGTAGGAATGTGTATGTCATATTTAGAGAACATTGTGGTGACTGCAATATGGCCTTGTACTTGAGAATATGAACTCCTGGAGCCAGATCACCAGGATTCATATCCCAGCTGTCACTTGCTAGTTGTAGAATATGTGGCAGTTATATAATCTGTCACTTATATATACACGGCAAGGGAAATAATACCTACATTATAAGCTTGTTGTGAGGATTAGAAGGTTACCATATAAAGCATTTAGAATATGTCATGACACATAGTAAATGCTGTAGAAATAAGGAGTTTGTTCATTCATTCCTTAATCATTCACTCTTTCTTGAACATTTGTATGTAAAGACTCCTCCTGAGCTTCATATCTTTATTTCCAGATGCCTAGTGATATATCTAGAGGGCTGTTGCTCTTTTACTATTAACATGTTCAAAAAGAAATTAAATATTTTTCACTCAAATTATTTCTACTACTGGCAGTACTATCGCCCTAGTTTATCTGTTAAAAGATTTAGATATGTGTTAAGATATCAGCTGTTTCAAAGAATACATTTTGGTGAATTGGGAAATTAATGTTAGCTTTCTTTTTATATACATACAGGTCTGTGTATGATGACCAACCAAATGCACACAAAAAGTTTATGGAAAAGTTAGATAATTGTATCCGTAATCATGACAAGGAAATTGAAAAGATGTGTAATTTTCATCATCAGGGTTTTGTAGATGCTATTACAGAACTCCTTAAAGTAAGGACTGATGCAGAAAAACTGAAGGTAAGAAATATGTTAAAATTCAGTTTATCTTTGCTGTCATTAAATTACTCAAGTGTTGCCTGGCCAGCGTGACACAGTGGTTGAGCATTGATCTGTGAACCAGATAGTCAATGTTTGATTCCTGGTCAGGGCACATGCCCTGGTTGCCGGCTTGATCCCCAGTGTGGGGTGTGTGGGAGGCAGCCAGTTGGTAATTATCTCTCATCATTGATGTTTCTGTCTCTGTCTCTCTCTCCCTTCCTCTCTGAAATCAATAAAAATATATTTTAAAAAATTACTCAAGTATTAGTTTATAGTGCATGGTACAAACCTTTATTAAATGTACTACTTTCAAGAAGTGCATCAGTGTATATAATTGGGAATGCTCTTCATGCTTTGTTAACACAGTTGTCATGCTAATGACAGGAGTAATCCCTTTTTTGGTAAAGTAAGTAATGCATTGACTTAACAGGATTTATTTCCATGCAGGGAAATAAACTAAAAAACTTCATACAATGAAAGGCCCCATTGGCAGTTTTAGAATTTTTAAAATGACAATTAGTACAAATATAAAAATCTTTAAAAACTACCATGTGTAATTATATTCTCAAAGTTATTTAATAATATTGAAACTTTTTTTTAGTTTAATAGCAATGTATAATTTTCTTAAAGAAAATTGGTCTACCTTTTCGGCCACACAGAAAAAACATTATTTATTAAATGAGACCTGGATTTGTTCAGTCAGAATACAAAATATATAGTTATAAGAATTGTCCTACTTATCTTTCTTTACATTTGGAGAGCTTAGCAGACAGAATGACCCTGTTACCAAAGGTTATGATTAGAAAGCCATTATATAAAGGATGTTCAGACAACGAATGACCAAATACAGCATCAATGAGGTCACTGAGCATCTTTGTTAAAAAATTAATGAGATTTTTAATAAACCAGAATGTGCTTCCTTACTATGATGACCTAATGAGTCACTTAATATGTGGGAAAATTTGAGGTTGAGCTTTGCCTGCACCTGCAGCATTAAAATGTTGCTGTGGATTGAGATTTCTGTGTTTGATGTTAATCAACCACCCAGTGTTTGCATTCAGCAAAGTATGAATGTTTAATTACCGTAAAATGTAATCACCATTTCCTACAGACAATGAATGGCACATAGACCTCATTGAAGTTATCAAAAAGGGACCAGTGGTCAATTGGGTCAGTGATTTGAATTGTTTGACAGACTTAGAGAAGCAAGTAAAGTTCAAAAATCTTGAGTAAATTTGAGAAGTTTGCCACAGAATCTGTTAAAAAGAACTGTCATAAGTAATTGAAGTTAAAAGCCCTTTTCAATCAAAAGTTCAAGTTCAAGCTGTAGAGTTAATTTGAATTTGCATTTCTTTGTTCTAAGTTTCTCATGAAGCATGATCTGATTACAAGGGTGAGCAGTTACATCAGGGCAGTTTTATTCATATTTGTCTAACTAAGGTGAAATTATTTTTAAGGTACAAGTTACTGATACCAACCGAAGATTTCAAGATGCTGGAAAGGAGGTGAGAAAATGATACATTTGTTGTGTACCAATATGTGGATATGATTTAACTGTTCGTTTAAACATATGAACATTTCTTTTCCTAAGGTGGTAGTCCAAACAGAAGATATTATTCGATGTAGAATTCAGCAGAGGAATATTACAACTGTAGTAGAAAAATTGCAGTTGTGCCTTCCAGGTGAGTTAAATTTGTCTATAATGTAATGTTGGCTTGGTAAAATTATAATTTAATGATAACATATAGTCATTATTCATTATGGGAATTACAGGTATTTGGTGATTGTTCCCCCCAAAAGCCTATGGTTATCTTTCTTATCCACTTTGTTCCCTGAGTTTTCCTATAATGTAAATCCCCATTTGGTGATCTGTCACGTCAGTCTCCTATAATCTTTCCGTTTCCTTTCTGCCTCACTTGCCCCTCCTCAACTTTGTGATTCTTCAGAATACTTTCCCATGGGGAGTGTCTTTAGATTACATTTTCTTGCCTTGTCCTAATTTGCCTATCATTTTACCTATAGTTTTCCATTTGATACTTAAGTAGCTTGGTTTTGCTTTGCTCACAATCTCATTTTGCTGATCAGGTAAGAAAACATCCCAAAATGCTAGGTCTTCTCCCTTCTTCATTCTTGCCTTTCCACCTATATTTTGGAAAGACTGACTTTTTAGGTTTCTGAGGTTCTGACTCTCTGTAAGGGCTCAGATATTACCAGGACATCAATAAATTTCAAAGAAACTTACTAGTATTTTCTTTACCTGGATGTATCCTGTTTAAACAAAAGGAAGCAGGTGTATGTCATCTTTTTCTTAATATAGTAAATTAAATCCAATGCAGTGTTGCATTTTTTATTTTTATTTTTTTCAGGAAGGAACTGGAACCTTCATATCCTGGGAAATAGAATGAGATGCTTTGTATATAATAATTATACAGGGTGGGTCAAAAATAGGTTTATATTAGTGAGTATGCAAAACACTGAATTTATTCTTATTTATTAATTACTAGAGGCCTGGTGCACTAATTCGTGCACCAATGTGGTCCCTCGGCCTGGCCTGCGGGATCGGGCTGAAACCAGCTCTCTGACATCCCCCAAGGGGTCCCGGATTGCAAGAGGGCACAGGCCAGGCTGAAGGACCCCACCAGTGCAAAGGGACGTGGGAGGTTGGCCAGCTGGAGAGGGACCATCAGAGGACTCCAGGGTGTGTCCGGCCCATCTTGCTCAATCCTGATCCGCCAGACCCCAGCAGCAAGCTAACCTACCGGTCGGAGCATCTGCCCCCTGGTTGTCAGTGCACATCATAGTGAGCAGTTGAGCAGCCTTAGCATATCATTAGCATATTATACTTTGGTTGAACGGCCGACTGGTTGACCAGACACTTAGCATATTAGGCTTTTATTATATAGGATTGTATGATTTTTCCATATAAACAACTGTAAACCGACTCTTGCTCCACCCTATACATAATATGAAGTTAGCTTAGAATACAAATTATATGTTAAAACTGTCAGCAGATCTTATTAGCTAAACAATTATTGTTTTCTGACTTGTGAGAATAGCTTTTTAAAAAATAGAATCACTGAAATTCTAATTAGTTTAATCTCTGATGGACCAGGGCTGTGTGCACATTAACTTTGAGTAAATATAATGTCTGCTCATTATGTGAGGTTTCAGGGTTAAAAAGCCTATTTCCTTTATAGTAATGTTTAGTAATACCTCTTTGTCACCATCAGATACACTGAAATGGCCATGAAGACAGTCTCTAAGTTTGAATGCTTTGTCTCTGAATTGTAATAAGCCTAAAAAATTTGTACTGATGGAATGGAAAAGAACTGAATTCAGTTTATTCACCTAGTGGGCTATTTGAAATAGAGAAGTAAAGGGAAGTGGAAGTTAAAATTTTGTTACTGCTACTGTCTTTGCTTTCAGTGCTTTTCCTGAGTTGTATAATCTGAGTTGTATAAACATTGCATTCCTAATAGCCATGTCTAGAACTACCTCCTTTCCTCCATCTATCCTTCTATCTAATTATCTTCTTACAAATACTTTTTTGTGTCAGGAATTATGGTAGATATTGGAAATATAAAGTTGAAAGTGACATAGTCTCAGCTCTAAAGGATGTGATAATTTATCTGAATAAAGACAAGCCATCAATTACTGTACAATTGCTTACCTCCTCCTTAGATTAGAAGTATGAGAGGATATAAGAAGTCACAGGTTAAACAATGCATTTTTCTGGTGCACTAGTTTTACTTGATTATATTTGAGGAAAGTATTATTTTATATGAAAAGAATATAGAAATATTAGAAGGTAGATATGAAATTTATCTAAATTGTTGAGATGAAACAGATTTCAAAGCAAGTTTATACTTGTAGCAGCAGTTTTAGGCTCTTTCCCAGGTATATGTTTTGGTTGGAAATGTAAAAAATATTGCATTATGTATAGGGGCTATGATAGTAATATACATAGAGTCTGTAGAATTAGGACAAGTTCACTATAGCCACCCTTGCAGTTTTTATGCGTTTCAGAGAGGTAAACAATATCTTTTATAAACTTGAAGATTCCTGAGGGTAGCCATAAAACCATAGAAAAATCTGGAAAAAAATGTCTATCTCTTTGGTCTAGGAAATTTGGAGGTGGCTTGATGAGCTAATAATAATATATTCACTCACTTTATACTTGGAAATTCTATTAAGGATGAATGGTATGTCATCTTGCTGAAGCTTATAACAGCTTTATTGAATAACTGCATTTCT